AATTACATCGTCAGATTCTGATTCGGATACTGATAAATACGATCTTAGTGATAACGAATGTTATGAAGATACTATTGACGGGATTTTACGAGAATTGGTCATGGAAGAAGAAAGAAATGTTGATGATACCGAGGAAGCTACAGTTCAAATGAAAGATACGAAATGGACCGATCAGAGGCACGAGCAAATCTGAAAAAACCAACAACTTTTTGTCCAAGCTGTCCTGATCGACCTCAACTTTGCAGAGAACGTTTTAATGTTATACACTGCGAATAATTTTTTTAATAAACCATTTTTATAAGAATTCAATCGTTTCATTACCTCCTGTAGAATATTTGTCCAAATATTTTCGGAAATCCTTTGTAAGTAGTCGAATCAGCGTCACCCGAATTACGGGTGACGTGGCCTGATGAGAACTTTTGCTGTCACCCGAATACGGGTGACGCGGCAGTCAACGTGTTAATACATACTGTTATTCATTTCGCTGCTACTGTTGTTCCTTTTCCGCATGATGACGACCCTGCCATCGTTAGTGTTTCTGGCCCAGGATGCTCCAGTGGACATCGATACGGATCGATGAAACATGCCCCGACCTTTGCCGCTCTCGCTGTCGCTGTCACTCATCGGATACTCGGACAATGGCTGCATACAATCACGCGTTATCAATCGATATTACACAAGCGACACTAATCTCTTACCCTTCCGTTTGTGCTGTTGAACATAGCGCTGCTCCCGTCGTAAACATTCTGATGGCCGTTCTGCCGCCTCAACGCCTCCTCGTAGTACCTTTCGTCGTGACTCTGAGAGTGATGAACGCCGAGGGCTTGTAGACACTGGAAAGGACCGGTCGGCGGAAATGGTCCCGCCGTGTCCGGAGGACTGTAGTTCTCGGCGACGGACGACAACGTTTGCGACGGTCGTCTTTGTTGTTTCGGAATGTTCAGTCCCGAAGCACTGGCCAGTTCCAGCAGGAATATAGCGTTGTTCTTCATGACGATATGCGTCTCGTTGCCATTCGGAGTGGAAATAGGCGACAGGATCTTCCCGGTGCCGTTCTTCCGCTTCGTGATCCCCGTCAAGAACTTCTTGGTCAGCTTGAGCTTCCGTGCTCTCAGGTACTTGTCGCGGCACGTGTCGCAAATTAGGTACCAAGAGCTTCCGCCCACGCCACCATCGCCGCAATTCCCTGCCCAGCCGATGCAATAGGTCCCTCCGCTGTTGTACCCTTTTCCTCCCGCTTGCCATCCGCAGCCAGGGTGCATCATTTTCATGTGATAAGTCACCGGGTGCGGGAACATCAAGCCGCACAGCTCGCAGATGGTCTCTCTCTCTATCCCGGCCAGCACCTCGGATCCGATTCCTCTGCCAACCGGTTTCCATTCTTTCTTCTTCCGGTTCCCTTTCTTCTCGCGCTCCTTCAGCTTCTCTTCTCGGGGTCGTTTCTCCGGGACCGGTCGTTTGCTCAACTTCACCGTCTGCACCTGCGATATCGGGCTCGGGAGGACCGACTGCTGCTCTATAGCCTGCAGACAATTCGTGCTGAGCTCCTCCCACAGGAACACCAAGCTCTTCAAGGCCGGCGGCAGCACCGCCACAGTTTGGAACTCGGGAACTGCGCCGAGCTTGCCGTTCGTCTGACCCTCGTCCTTCGTTGGAACCTCCTGTTTCTTGCGATTTCGGTTCGCGTTGGCGTTCGCCGCAGACCGCGTCAGAGTCTCCAACGTGCTCGGCTGGATGTGCAAGTAGTTGCCAGCGTTGGTCACCTCCACGGAATGTCTCTGCCTTGCTTTCTGCTCCTGTTCTTCCTTGTCGTTCGACTGCAGCACCGTCTGCCTGGTCACGACGAGGGCTCCTTGCTTCGGCAAACTAGGGTGAAACTTCAGGAAACTGGCGCAGGCCATCGCGTCGTGCACGATCCCCTCGTGCCAAAGAAACGCCGCGAACACGGCTCGAAGGCATTCCGCTACCGATGGGCTGATGGCCTCTTTCACCTTCTCCTTGCTCAAGTTCAACGTCCGACTCGGGTTCGGGCTTTGCTGGGAACTTGCCGGAGACATCGCTCTTTTCGCTCTGGTCTTCACCATCTTCGTGTGATCCCGTCGACTCAGCTTGGGCAAGTGACGCTCTTCCTTTGGCCCGGTGGAACCGATGCTGAAGTGAAACGTGAGGTTCGTCTGCGTCTGCGCCTGAGACATTTTCCGCGGACTCCTCTGCGAATCCTTTGGAACAGAACATTTTGTTATTGCACGTTTCATTTGATTCGGACCCAGTTGTCCGGGAAGTTTGTTCCATTTCGTGATTAAGTTGGAAGATAACGAAAACTAAAGGAATATTCTTGTCAAGGTTCAGATACGTTATGCAACAATGTAACAAGCTTCTTCGACAACTTCGAATAACAGTAAGTTCTCCCAATTGCCCTTCAGCTTGTAAACAAAAATGAGTAATTTGGAAAGAGATATGATTTTTATAGTTGTTGACAATTGTAAACTATAAAAACTAGCCGTGGGGCTTGAATAATCATATCTTCTCTTCAAGATATCCCAAAATTATTGTACAAGCGAGAAATAAGGGGTTCTTGAAGTCATTTGAAGTAACTTTTTCCTTAGCGAAAATGCAATCAGCGGCTTCGTTTGCGAGTTATTAACGAAAAATAGTGACCAATGAGAGGCGCGCTCGGCTAGCGCAAGGCAGTCGAGCCAACGAGCGGTCGACGCCCACTCGCCTTTCATTGGTCACTGTTTTTCGCTAATAGCTCGTAAACGAAACCGCGGATTGCATTTTCGCTGAGGAAAAAGTTACTTCAAATGACCTCAGGAACCTCTCATTTCCCTCTTATACAATACTTTTGGGACATCCTGTAGAAAGAGGAGATATGATTTTTATAGTTGTTGACAATCGGCAACTATAAAAACGAGCCGTGGGGCTTGAATAATCATATCTTCTCTTCAAGGTATCCCAAAAATTATTGTACAAAATTATAATAAGTATAAATATAAAATAATAAATATAAATATAAAATAATAAATATAAATATAAAATAATAAATATAAATATCCCAGAATTATTGTACAAGCGAGAAATAAGGGGTTCTTGAAGTCATTTGAAGTAACTTTTTCCTTAGCGAAAATGCAATCCGCGACTTCATTCACGAATTATTAACGAAAAATAGTGACCAATGAGAGGCGCGCTCGGCTAGCGCAAGGCAGCCGAGCCAACGAACGGTCGACGCCCACTCGCCTCTCATTGGTCCCTGTTTTTCGTTAATAGCTCGTAAACGAAGCCGCGGATTGCATTTTCGCTGAGGAAAAAGTTACTTCAAATGATCTCAGGAACCTCTCGTTTCCCACTTATACAATAATTTTGGGACATCCTGTAGTATGTTTTACTTTCACTTACTGTGCCATCCTTTTTCGGTGTGTCGGGAGGGCTGGCTATACTACCCTCTGATCTTATTTGTAAAGAACTACAGCTCGGGCTCTGGGACAGGTCGCGGGTGTTGGCAGTTGTGCTGACAGCACTGGGTGATTGCGAAGGATCCCTCGTTATACTACTGACCAAGGCACTTGTGTCGCTTTGCGTCGATCCTCGTCGCTGTGACGTGGCTGTGCTGTCGACCATGCCACCAGAAACTTGAAAGAGAGATACGCAGGAAGAGGGTTTAGACAAAATGATTACTCAGTCCTTTCGAAATATAGAAATCTTATCTCTGCTTTCTAGAGCAAGGATATTGTTATCTCACCTTACTTTTTTAAAGGCAATGGACACCGGCAGATGAATACTACTCCTGACAAGAAGTGTTCGATGGAATGCACTCATACAAATACTTGTGCAAATAAATATGTTCATATAAAAATGTGGGTTCAGTTAATAATGTTTCTTTAATGGGCGTACACATGATTTGTACTCCAAGTGTACACCCTTTTGCATATCAAATTCAATTCTTCTGCAGGGAAAATTTACCCCTTTGCAAATTAAATTTTGCTGCTCTGATACGTTTTTAATCGAAATAAAATCGAATGTATTGTGCAGAAGTTCAAACTTTTATTGCACGCAATGATGAAGATAAAATAATTATCTAATATTTTAAGTGACAGTTGGAACCGAGTCATTAATTGCATCTAACAACTGTTCTTCATTCGAAGAGTTAATTAGCATATGTTTTGCACATGAATTGATTTTTGTAAAATTTCTATAACGGAGTTCATTGTCAGAGAATACGTTGTTAGAAATCAAGCGTGCTTTATCCGACCAACGAAATCGCACAAAGAGAAACTTGTCGTAAATATATAATTTCTGGTGAATCTGATTTGCTAAAAAAGTGTACTTGTGAAGTGCAATAGACAGATAAATTTTTGTTCTCTCGCTGATAGCACTTTTGATGGAAGACTTTCTGTCAGGGATACTAATGCATCTCGTGTAACGTTCTTTCGCATAACTTCATCAACCATGGATATTTATACAGATATTTATACAGGAACTGAAATCGATTAAAAATTGACTTACTTTATCGAGAATATCAACTAAGAATGAAACGTTTTACGTATGCCATAAACGTATAAAATCCACAGTCCTTGCAATAAATTCGTGCAGATCCCGTGCGTATCGTGAATGAAACAACGACGACTGAGAATGAGAGATTGTGAGAGAGCTTGATGATCGGCCGTGAAACGAAACATTTAGTATTAACGTGTTATAGATTGTGATTAAGAACGTGATCGGTACGATGCAGTGGTAAAGTAATTATGTTAGTGTTAGAGTCAGAGAGTAGAAATGTATGTTGTTGTTCTTACCTAATGGGGAGAGGCCGACACTCCGGGGGGAGCCGCAGAGCACAGGGCTGCTACTGATACTATCTCCCCCTCCTATCAAACTTCTCCCACCTGACAATTTGGATCATTTGTAGAAATTTACATTGTGACATGTTATTGTTTATAAATACGCTAAACTATAATGTGTAATGAGAGTATATCGAATCTACAGATTCGTTATGCACTATTTAAACCTCTAATCGGACAAGGGTTGTTGGCATGTGTATGTGTGCGCGTGTGTGTGCGTTGATGTATTGTGCGTGCACAAAACGAAATATCTCATCTCCAGGTTTTAATCATATCTGCATGCAGTTCGGTCTTCGACGAGTAAATATACACTACGGTGCCATTGCATTCTTGAAGGAAACGTATAATCGGTTGTGGTGGTGGTGGTGGTGACGTGAATTAATTACGAAACTCCGAACAACACAAATAACGCTAGAACACTATTTCTCGACTGTACAAAACTGAGGAATATGTTGAGTAGGAAAGGGTCGAGTACCTGGTGCATGAGCAGCAGGAGGGAAGAGGCAATTACCAGAACCAACTGGCTGCCGACTGGACCCAGCTAAGAGCAACATTACTATATTGTTATAACTAATTCCATAAGGTCTGTTTTTAACATATTTATACAACCTACGATCATTCGTTTATGTACTATGTATATATATTTATAAAGAGAGAAAGAGAAAGATAGAGAGAGAAAGATATAGAGAGATAGAAGTGGCTTATGGTAAGTCGCAAACGGAGTTTTACTCTAAGATAATTCATTCCACGGATCAGGAGAACCGTCCGTGGAACGGTATACGGTCTTACAAGCGTCAGTAACGGGTCTCTCAGCTTCTGAAATGATTCCCTCCTCAGACCAGTTACGGTGCCGAAAGTGCGAAGTAAGGCACACACATGAATGTCATGAGATTAAAACAATGAGACCATATAGAAGAACAAATATACAAATGTATAAGAGATAATCTGTCGCGCACGTGGCTTCGAATTCTCATAGGTTTGAAATTGTTGTCGGCTGCAGTTGCGTATACGTACCGGGTATCTGAACTGGGCTAGAGGACGGGCTGTTAAATCGTGGTGACCCACCTTGGGGATTCTTCGGCGACGAGCTTCTCGACAATCGTCTCGGTGTTTCCGGTGACGTGGGACCGTTGCCATTCGCGCGGCTCTCGCCGATCGCCTTCACCAGCTCCTTCACGGAGACACCGACGAACTCGGAAAAATCCCTGCAAATGCCAAAACTATATGACGAAACTAATCTAACTGCACGGTTCCCGACGGTTCATTCTTTTTATTCACCTGCCGGGCGAGCTCCTCTTTTCCCCGTGACACTTGTCGTCGCCTCTCAACCACTTCTGGAGAACGCTGAACTTCCCGCCACCTCCGCCACCACCTCCTCCCCCTCCCCCTCCTCCTCCTCCTCCTCCTCCGCATCCGCCGCCACCTTCTCTCTCCCTCTCCTTCACCACCCTCTCTTTCGAATGCGGCTTCGAGAATTTCGGCGAGACATCGGCCTTCTCCAGAGTCGACTTGTCGCTTCCTGAAATATAATCGCCGCGCTGTCGTTAGCCGAGAGAGTATCATAAGCGGACGAGGAGAACTCGATCTCATCGAATTGTACCTGGTGAACCATGTTGATTGTATGAACCAAAAATAAAGAGATTCGTGTTGCTACCTTCGCCAGGCTCCGCTGTGCTCGCCGTGTAATTCGGCGCGGTGAAATTAAAGCCCTCGTGACTCACGGAAGGCACGGAGAAATCGAAACCTTTATGACTAGGTGAAACGGACGGATCGGCTATGATCGGTTTCTTTTCCGCCGCATCGTTCTCGAGATCGGGCTCGATTTTCATGTAAGTCACGCCCTGTTTGCTAATCGCGAGCGACCAGGCCTCGCCCTCCGCGATTCGACCTCGGTCGAAGCAGTACTTGCCCATTGACTCGTCGTCGATGCGCACCCAGGTGCCTTCGCTGTTCACGAACTGGGGAGAGAGACAGAAAGATCAACTCGACACGAGCCCCGTCGACCTTTTCCAACACTTATATACATTTCTCGGGTGAATGTTCGACTTTATGTTCGAGCATTCTGCGTTCTGGAGACTAGAAGCTTTTATTTCTCCGGCACTCGGAATTCATTTTCTTGGCGAAGGAAATCTTTTCGCGGAATTGTACAGTTTAAACTTCGCGGATAGAATTTATAGTACTGTAAATTCTCCCTAATTAACGATCAGATTTGATTCGAAGGCAATTCGGAGGCCACATGCCACGATTCGAAGGCAATTCGGAGACCACATGTCACGATTCGAAGGCAATTTAGAGACCATATGACATGATTCGATGGTCACGTACCTAATACTCTCTAATTAACGCTCAGATTAGGCACAAAAATGGACAATTTGGGAAGAGGAGATACGATTATTTGAGCCTTGCGGCTCGTTTTTGTAATTGTTGACAATTGGTAACTATAATAATCGTATTTCCTCTTCCCAAATTGTGCATTTTTGTGCAGAATCTGAGCGTCAATTAGGGAGAATTTACTATATTACCAATGTTATTAAATAGCGACACGTTTCAGGTTGTCGATTCGAACTTTAAACGACATTTTTGCTTGACACTATTAAGAAGATAGCATTGAACCGATCGATTTGAAATTTTAATTGTATCCTTAACACGTTAAGTAACGAATATCGACACCAAAAATGTCTACAGCGTCGAACAGTCAATTAATTAACAGTAAACTTATCGGGCATTGAAACTTGTCAGTTTCAATTTTACATTTTTTATATTATTTTGTTGAAATTGTAAAGACACTTTCATAAGAAATCATTGAATAAATTTCTTAATTCAAGCACAGATTATTAAACGTTAAGAAATGTTTAAAGAAATTCAATCTCGTCGTTCTTATAAAGCAACACACGTTGACAAATAATATAAAAAATGTAAAATCGAACATTTTGACCGGCACCGTAGGTTTAGTGTTAATGAAACCGAAGCTAGAAAGAGAAAATTTAGTATAGGATTTTTCAATCGTAATCTAAAATTAACACTGAAAAGAATATTCGGTTTGTTCAATATGCTACAATAAGAACGAATTTAAAACCTAGTCGAAAATTACTGTCGCAACATTCACGTGTTAAGGAACAGTCTATTGTTTGACCTGCAATGAAAACGATGACTACAAAAGAAAATCTCATTGCAATTTTTGAATTTATTTTTATACAAAAGAAAATCTCATTGCAATATTTGAATCAAGCGTCGCGCGCTGTCTGCCGTAGACAAAAACTACATCTATAAGAAAACCGAAGTGAATCAATTTCTGTATCTCAATCGAAGTGTACTGGAAACCTACTTAAACTTTCGAACTGAAAATATCGATATTTTTCACCGAAGAAAAGAAATCTTATAAAGTGTAGGACAAATCTACTTCTTCTTCTACGTAATTATTATGAGACGAATGTAAGTGTTAAAGTGCGTGTTACGAAGACCTACATATTCTTGAATAGTGACGCTGTTGCCAGGCGCCAATATTCCCACCGGTGCAGCTTTTAAATTTGGTCTGCTCCTGATATTGTGACCGGAAGCACCGCACCTCACGACCACCATGGTCTTGGCCGAGTCGAAGGTAACCGTTTTCCTTTTGCTAAAAGGTAAAATTGTGTTTGAAACGACACCGAAAGCTTCGATCGTTATGTCAAGATTATTACATATACAGGGTATCCTAAAATTATAGTACTTCCGGGAAATGAGAGACTTCTGAGGTTCCGAAGTTACTTCATTTGAAGTAACTTTTTCTTTAGCGAAAATGAAATCGGCGGCTTTGTTTACGAGTTATTAACAAAAAAAAAACCCTAACCAATCGGAGCACGAGTGCGGCCGACGCTCTACCCTTGCGACCAATGCCGCGTCACACCGGCCGTCTGACGGTAGTGGTCGCGAGGGCGGGGTGTCAGCCGTACACGATCTCTCATTGGTCAGTGTTTTTCGTTGATAACTCGTAAACAAAGCCGCGAATTGCATTTTCGCTAAGGAAAAAGTTATTTCAAATGATCTGAGGAATCCCTCATTTGCCGGAAGTACCATAATTTTGAGATACCCTATACACACGTATGTATATATATACATACATAGCTCGATGTTTCGAAAAGCTTACATCTTTCTTACGTACTCATCGACAACTTCAGGCCTCTTGCGCAGAACAGTGTCTTTGATGACTTGATCTAAAATCGATTTCGGTTCCTCAACTGGAAGAAGCAAGGTCTTGCCCAAGTGTTGATTGTACTGTAGACACCAGGCTTCTAGGTGACTGCTGTTGCAGTACTGCTTGATCGTGTCTGCGGTCAGTCTCAACCAGACGCCATCGTCGTTATGGATCTACAGAAATGGAATAATACTTCTTTGATTTCGTTCGATCTTCGAGTAGTTAAAACACTTGGTGAACAAACAGAATCACCTCGTCTATGAAGGCTATAGTATCGTTCACTGAAATCAAACCGATTTGCTCGCTTTGCAGTGACGGGTGGGCTCTGATCCTGAGGCCTGCACTGATCTTCGCTACGAATTTTCTGAGTCTGCTGGGTTGGTGCTGAGCTTTCTTCACGACGTTCTGTGTAGGCGGTTGCATTCTCTGCGGTGATTCCTTCACCTCCACTTTGTAGTTCTGGAAAACATATTGGACGATGTTGCACGATTGTCTTAGGTACTGTAATTAGCATGATTTCGTAACGATGATTTCTCTCCGACTCTGTGTCGATTTGTCGCAGTTCTTTGGAATATCCAATTACTAAGAAATTATTGGGTTGGCAACTAAATAATTGTCGATTTTATATAACCCGCCATAACTCTTTCGACCGATATCGACATCACGCCAAAGGAAAGGAAGTCTGGCTCATGACTTGTGTTTTGACTTTTCAAAAATAGCTGCCATATTTCACGCTCCGGCATTTATTCGATCCACGAGATCCGCTTGATCGCTTCAAATTTTCACAGAGGAAACGCCAAAGATTTCAGAGAAAATGAAGATTTCTATTTTTATAGGCTCGTTTAAACTGTACGTTAAATTTTTTAGTTGCTTGTATATTATATGTATTGGGTTGGCAACTAAGTAATTGCCGATTTGTTCAATGAAATAAAAAATTCTTTTTTACTTGGAACGAAGTTTAATCTGTAATGTATTCTCCATTTTGTCCGATGACCTTTTGCCATCGCTCTGACAACTTGAAAATTCCACGCTCGTAGAAAGTCTGATCTTTTTCGGCCAAAAACTGAGTTAAGTGAGATTTTACAGCGTCATCGTAATTAAAAGTTTTACCAGGAAGGGAGTTGTCCAGGGATCGAAATAAATAAATATCCATCAACTTTTGCCGAGTGGACAAAGACGTGTGCGGCCTAGCATTGTCCTGCTGGAAAATGACACCTTTACGATTGACCAATTCTGGTCGCTTTTCCTTGACCGCTGCATTCAATTTGTCCAGTTGCTAACATTCACGGATAATAAAAAATAACATAATAATAATATAGTAATAATAATTTTATAATATAATATTTACGGATATCATTGG